TTTTGGGCCTAGGAAAGCTCGAACTGCCTCGTGGCCATGCCAGCCAAAGCAGGGTCCAGGCAACTTGGGGTCGAGTGGATGCCAGGCAGAGACCAGGGGATGCAGAGCTATGGTCAACTTTATCCTTATAAAGTCTACACCTGAGAAATGCTGGCGGCTTCTCCGGGGTCAGGGTGAACCAGATCTCAGGTGAGGAGTGGGCACCTGCCGGCCCTGGGAGGGCCCTGGGGAAGTGGAGTGCGGCACTCTTGGGACAGGTTTTAGTGCCCTCTGCTGAGAGAGCAGGACTCCCTCCTGCACTTCTGTCCCCAGGGCACGGGTCACCTTACTCCCTGGGATGGGAGTCCGGAGGGGAGGGCCGCCTCTGTCCCTGCACTTACTTCTGGGCTCCAGGGCTCAGGCTGGGTGGGTCTGACACTCCAGGGAGCAGGAGACCCAGGCGGCCATCCCAGCAGGGAAGGTAGCCGCAGGCAGGACTGCTCTGGCAGCTCTGTTGTGCCGTCAACAGGGTGGCGCTCAGAGGGCTGCTTGCTATGGGTGCAGCGCTATGTGCTGAGGTGCCAAGAGCCGTGTGCGCCCCAGCCAGCTGCCACTTTGACACACTCCGCCTGGGTGTTACTAGCAGGCAGTCCTGCCCATCAGCTCCCAGCAATGCCAGCTCTTCTTGCAGAGAGGCCAGAGATGGCTGCTGGGCAAACAGGAGCACCTGTGCGGGTCCTGCGTTGGGGGCAACACTTCAGAGAGCCAGGGTGGGGGCAGCGTGCTTGGGAAGAGTGGCTGGGCCCTGCCTGGGGCGGGGGCACCTGTGCCTTCTCCTCTGCACGCGTGACAGTCACCTTCAGGTGGATTTGGCTGTCAGTACCGGTGTGCCCAGGACACCCACCTGGAGGACAGAGGCAGGACCCACGCTCTGATGCCACAGGCCTGGCCCTCTGCAGCCGGCCTCTCGCCCTGCCTGTCTTCCCCAGTCCGACATGTTGGACATTGCAGAGCATCCCCGGTGACTGCTGTCCCTCCCTCGCTGCCCCCAGTCTGAGGCGGGCTGCCCCCTACCTCACTCCAGCTGGCCAGAGGCTCAGTGCTAGGCCTGGGGCCTGTGCTGGGTAAGGCGAGGCTGGACGCAGGACTCTTACATGTGAAGATGGGGCACTCGATCAGCTGCACCAGCTTGTCCACTTCTGTGAGGAAGTCCACGGTGACCTCCAGGTCCCCACTGGGTGGTAGTCAAGGAGTCTGACCATAGGGCCACACGGCCGGTGTCTGACAGGGCTGGCTGGCCACACCCTGCAACCTTGCAAGCAGGAGGTGGGTGAGGGGGACCTGGGGCTCGAGCCAGCGGTCCAGAGCACTGTGTGCTCCCCACCCGGCCCCACGCCCCGTGCACAGCCTGGTTCTCGCCATGCAGGATGGCACACAAAGGGCCCTGTCTGCTCTCTCTGCTGCCCCACCACCCCGGTGCTCTGGTTCTGCTCCAAAGCCCTCTCCTCTGCACCTCCAGGCTCTGGAAGGCTCTTACCACAGGCCTGGAGCCTGCAGGGCAGGGCTGGGCGGGACACATGTGGCTCCTGCCTGAACGGATGGCCCACCAGCACGGTCTGTGTCAGGCTCAGGTGACCTGTGGAACTGGGGCAGTGGCCTGTCTCTAGGTCACACAAGTGGCCGAAGAAACAAACTAAGATGTAGTAGAGCAGGCCCCTGGGGGCCCAGCAAGGCCGTACCTGGCCCTCCATGGAGGCACCTCACAGCCCCACCTGATCCTCCAGCTCCTGCCCCAGCACCCCCTGAACAGAGAGCCAATCCAGGGTCCCCGCTGGTGTTCACAGACGGGGCTGGTTTGTTTTTCGGTGTCTGAGACAAGCCTGACGGGCAGTGCTCAGGTGCATGTGGGCTCCTTCTGCTCCCCGTGGTGTCTGCTGGACCACCAGGTCTGGCTCTGCAGCCCCCAAAGTCTAGCACCTCAGCTCCAGCCTCCAGGCCTCACCTCGGCCACTGTGGCAGTCCCCCCAGGTCCCAGCTCCCTGGCCTTCTCTCCCAGCACTGCCCAGCAAACTGGGCCTGGCACAAAGAAGGTTGGTGGGAGCTGCAGTGAGCAGGACGCACCTGCCTCCCCCCAGGGCAGGAGCCGGGAGTTCCCCTTGTCCAGACTGCCCAGTTCCACCTGCCAGCACCTGCTGGCCTGGGCCTACCCAGCCCTGATCCCATGTGGAGGTCTCTCTAAGACCAGCTCCACTTCAGGAGGGCCCTAGGCAGTGGCCCGTTAGCTGCCACCAGTGCCCAGTGCCCTCCTGAATATGACCTCAGGGTGCCCCTGCCCGGCAGCCCTGACGTCACAAGGCCTGGAGGCTGAGTGAGGGGTGGGGGCAGGATAGCAGTCCGGGTGGGGAGGGAGCACAGGCCGCCTCTGGCCCTCTGTGGCAGCCAGGGTGGCACACAGGCAGGGGAAGGATACAACTTCTGGATGAGGTCGTAGGCGTGCCGGTAGTTCTGGGTGAGGAAGCAGAGGGACACTGTGGTGACCGGGTTGTGGCACCAGGAGCGGTACAGGCAGCAGAACAGGTTCTGGCTCTCCTGAGAGACGAGGTGGAAGAGGAGCTTCAGGAGAGCCCCC